CCAGCTAGGCAGTAAGTCGGGAGAGCAGAGCTCACGGGCCTCTTGGCTCATCCTCCAGCCTGGTCATTGGTATTCCAGGACAAGTCAGCTTACTGTAATTTGAAATTGGTCTGCCATCCCATTAGGAATCTGCCCGATCAATACCAAGTGAATTAGAGTTTCAGTGATCTGATTAACTCCCCATTATTTTCTACCCTGGCTGATTTAGAATGCATGATGAGACAATATTCCAGTTTCTTTGCTTTATCCCAGTTTAAGTGAAATATAGACATCTAAGGAAGCAGTGCCCGTGCATTTGATTTGGCTCAGCTGTAATAAAGTCAAACACCATGAGTATCTCCCTCATCAAGACAGTCTTAAGTGACTGAGGGCTGCCTCCCACACCCGCAGGAGAGTGGTGAGTGGCAAGAGGAAGAAGTAGGTGGGAGTGCTCGCTGCTCATCTCTTTTTGGCTCTATCTTTGGAATAGACTCCTATAAGGCTTTTAACAGGGTGGGTTAGTTACTTGCCATACGATCAACACTAACAGCTTTGTGACTGCCGCCGGGGTCAGGCGCTTGGAAGGCGGACTGTAATTCTCTCCCAAAGGCACAAGAGGTTCATGACAGTTGAGGAACTAAATATTGTATCTTGATGACTGAAAACAAGCACTGTAGCCAGCCAGGCCAAATGCTGCCCTTGGGAAAAATGCCTGGTGCCTTTTGGGAGTGGATTTGGCCTCCTGTGTAAGACTGCTTCCATATCCTTGTCCTGGCCTCAGAGAAGTCTACACAAGCCTCACCCAGTCACTGTGTGGCCCTGAGAAGCTCAAACTCCAAACTAGTGGAAAATGCAGCACTCTGAATGATACAAACAATGGAACAGTGTGTTTTAAAAATGCAGCTGTTTTATATCCTCACATATTTCAGTTTGGCCGGCCCATGATTGCATGGTAGAGTTTCATTTTTTATTTTTCTTATTTTTATTTTTAGACAAGGTCTTACTGTGGCTTGATCCTCCTGCCTCAGCTTCACAGTTGAGACTGTTGTCATGCAACACTACACCTGGCTCTTTTATAGACAGGATCTTGCTATGTTGCCCAGGCCAACCTTGGGCTGGAATCCTCCTGCCTCACCTCCCTGAGTCTCTGGGATTACAAACTCATGCCAGTGTGCCTAGCCTTTATGCTGGACTGAGAATGAAGTTCAGGCCTCCCATGTGGTCCCAGCCTGTCACTTCAGTGTCTTAACAATGTGCTCCACTGCAACTGGGCCTGGCAGTTTCTTAAATAATATATTATTATTGTTTTTAGGATATGAGATTTGTGATGGGTCTGTCATTTGCTTTGATGTTAGCCAAATACTTTAAAAAATAAAAGCAGTGTTTTTTGTTTAATCATGTTTGAGGTACTATAATGTAGAATTTTTTTTTTT